GCCATCCTGACGCTGGCGCGGCATGATGTCGAGCTGGTGGCCCTCGCGCACAGGGCAGAGCGCCGAGATGAGGATCAGTGCCAGGCTAGCTGCCTGCGGTCGTCTCCCGAGCCCTATCCTCGCTGGGGGTTGCGGCGTCCCAAGGATGTGGGGTGACGGGCGGTGCTGCCATGGGTGCTGCTGAGACTGCTGCGCGTGGGGCCGCGGGCTGCGTCGCCGCTCCCTGGCGCTGCTGCGCGATGATCTGGCGGAGCTCCTTGTAGTGCTTGCTGAGCGACTCGAGGTAGGTGCCCTCGCTCCCTGCGGAGACCGCGGCCGCGCTGTTGACGATGTGCCCCAGTCGAGCAACAGCATCATCAACATCACGATCCCCGCAGGCGATCCCATCAGGTCGAGCTCCTGTTGCAAGAATCGCTGCTCGTGCCGCAGCCACATCCGAATCCACGGTGGCCAACTCAGCTGTGGCGGCCTCGAGCTCGGCAGCATTGGCGTTAAACTGCTCGCTGGGCTCTGCCACTTGCGCGCGAAGCTCTGTGACGTCACGGCTCCGCTGGGACTGTCGATCCAAGGCCCGTCGAAGGAGGTCGCCTGGCGTCCTGGTAGCCGACTCGGCCGCCTCTGCCTCCTGGAGCTCCTTCCTTGCCGCCGCGACGAGGGGGCTGCCGTCCTCCAGGCCCAGGCGGCGGAGCGCGCCGAGCTCCTTGCGGGCGCGGGCCGCAGCGTCAGAGGCGGCAGCTGGGGGCTCCTCTGCAGGGAAAGAACACCGAAATTAATATTCAAGAAAACCGAAATCGAGATTTCGGTTTTCTTCTAAACCACAATCAAAAAACACCGAAATCTCGATTTCGGCTTCAGACACCGAAATCGAGATTTCGGTGTTTTCGATTGGGGGTTTCCTCTTCCTCCTCCTCTGTTCCTTCTCCCTTTCCTTTCCTCTTCCTTCTTTCCTCTCTATTTCCTTATTTCCTCTCCGTTTCCTTATTTCCTCTCCGTTTCCTCCTTTCCTCTCCGTTTCCTTCTTTCCTCTCCGTTTCCTCCTTTCCTCTCCGTTTCCTCCTTTCCTCTCCGTTTCCTTCTTTCCTCTCCGTTTCCTTCTCCGTGTCCTTCTTTCCCCTCCGTTTCCTTCTTTCCTCTCCGTTTCCTTGTTTCCTCTCCGTTTCCTTTTTTCCTCTCCGTTTCCGTATTTCCTTTCCGTTTCCTTATTTCCTCTCCGTTTCCTTCTTGCATGTCTTGTATCCGTTATTTTCCGTCTCCTTCTTCCGTTGTCCTTTATTGTGTCCGTTCCTTTCCGTCTCCTTCTGCCGTTATCCTTTCTTGTTTCCGTTCCTTGTTTCTCGGTTCCTTCTTCCGTTGTCCTTTCTTGTTTCCGTTTTTTTGCCGTTTCTATCTTCCGTTATTTGTTATGTTTCCGTTCCTTTCCGCTTTTTTCTTCTGTTTTGTTGTTCTCTGTCATTTCTTCCTTCTTAGTTCCCTTTCCTCTTTCTCCGTTCCTTCTTCCTTTCCTCTTTCACCGTTTCTTCTTCCTTTCCTTTTCCTCTGTCTCCGTTCCTTCTTCCTTCTTCCTTTCCTCTTTTTCCGTTCCTTCTTAATTTCCGTTTCCTCTTTCTCCGTTACTTCTTCCTTTCGTCCTTTCCTTTTTCTCCGTTCCTTCTCCTTTCTTTTCCTCTTTCTCCGTTCCTTCCCCTTTTCCTTTCCTTTCTCCGGGGGGAGGAGGAAGAACAGGAGGGGAAGAAAGAGGGAGGAGGAGGAGGAGGAGAAAGAGGAAGACAACCAATTTACATGGAATCTCCGTGTAAACGACGAGGGAGGAGGAGAAGGATGAGGAGGAGGTGGCGGAGGAGGAATCTGAGGAGAAAGATGAGGAGGAGGAGGAGGAGGAGGAGAAAGAGGAGGGGAGGAGGAAAAGGAGGAGGAGGAGAAGGAGGAGGAGGAGGAGGAGGAGAGAGGAGGAGGAGGAGGAGGAGGAGGAGGAGGAGGAGGAGGAGGAGGAGGCGACAACGTGACAATCTCTGAACGCTACGGTTCCCAATGATTTTGGCCTTTCGCGGCCTTGTTCGGAGGACTCTTGGAGGCTCTTGGGAGTATCTTGGGGCTTCTTGGGGGCCTCTTGGGGGCCCCTTGGGGCCTGTTGTGGCCTCTTGGGGCGAAGGGCTCGACTTTTCGCGCTCGGGGGCCACGATCCTTGTGAAGGGTGTCAGAAAGTGCCCTCACCCAACTCACGCGACAAGCTCCGTGGACACGCGGGTAGGCCAAGTAAATGTGGAAATGTAGGCTCCGAGCCCCTTAAGAGCTCCTCAGGATTGAGGACTGAGGCCCAAGAAAGGACCTGAGGACACGCCCACTCCGTGCCGAAGGGCACAGTGGCGGATTCCGTTGTTCTTCCTTCCTGCTTCTCTCTGCTCCGTCTCCGGTTCGTTTGTTTTGCGGTCCTCCTCCCTGGTTATCCTTGTTCCTTTTTTGTGCCATTATGTTTTATATTGTTTCTGCTCCTTATCCTGTCTTTGTTCCTTATTCTTCTTCTTCTTCTATGTAACCTGCACAGTTTCATCTTAGTTTTCTTATCCTTCCTGTTATTATCAGTTCCGGCTCTGGTTCGTTTGTTTATCCTTCTTGGCTTTCTCTGTTACGTGTCGCGTTCCTTTATTTATCCTTCCTGTTTTCTCTGTATCGTCTTCTGTTCGTTTGCTTATCCTTCCTATTCATTGTGTGTCCCTGTTCCTTCTTCTTTTGTTTCCTTATGTTTCCTGTTGTGTCTATTCCTTGTCCTTTTCTTATTATTAGTATTCCTGTCTTTTCTGTTCTGTCTCCTCTTCTTGAGTATGATCTGGGCCTGTCGTTGGTGCATCTGCCTTGAGACCGGTCAAAGAAGACGAAAGCATTTATTTAGCCCCCTCGGGGCCACGATCCCTGTGAAGGGTGTGAAAAATTAGCTCCCCAGGGACCCACCCCCCGTCCAGGCCCAGTGGGAGGGGTTTGGGGGGGGGGAAGAAGGGGATGAACAGAGCGGGCTCCCTAAACCACTCGCGCCCAGAGGGCTGGTGGCATTCGGCGCGAGACCCCAACCAGAGCTTAGGCCGACGAGCACCGACATCGCGATTTTGGTGCGAAGCCCCAACCAGAGCTGAGGCCGTCGAACATCGAAATCGAGATTCCGGTGTGGAGCCCCAGCCAGAGCCCAGGCCGACGGACACCGAAATCGAGATTTCGATCTGAACCCCCCGCCGGATCGGAAGAGAGGAGGAGGGGGGAGAGTCGAGGCCGGCAAACACCGAAATCGAGATTTCGATGTTTCTTAAACCTCGGTTTCGAGCTCTTCCCCTCGGCAGGCTCCTCGTCGCCCCCCCCCCGCGGTCCTTGGCCTGCTCCCTGGGGCGGCTGGACTGACGGGTGCGCCGTGGAGGCGCGGGTGAGCGAGCTGGTCGCTGCTCGGGCGGGCCATCAGGGGGAGGCTTGCCCACGCGGTCCCTGCCGCAGCGATAGCATCGCTGGTTGGATGCGTAGTTCCTCGTATAGCCGCATTGACGAGTAGCCACACAGCTCCAGCAAGGATCGATACGCTTCTTGTTGTCATCCTTTCGCCCCCGCGTCGATCTCCACGAGCTGTGGCCGTGATGTGCTGTGAGCGAGGTGTGAGCCGCCTCCAGTTGCAGCAGCCGTCGAGCCGATGACCGCCGCCGTCGAAGACGTCCATGCCAGGCTGGGGAGGGTGTCCTCCCTCTCGTGGTGCCGCAGCGCCGCAGGAGCCGCCACCAGGGGGGCGGCAGCAGCACCGCAGCCGCCAGGCCACGAAAGCGCAGGGGCCTATCGCACGCGGCGGGCGCCCTGCTGGGGGAAGGGGGGGAAGCACGGCCCCCTTGACCCCTTGAGCCAAAATGGCTACGGAGGAAGAGGGGGGGGAGGAGCAGGAGGAGGAGGAGGAGGAGGAGGAGGAGGAGGAGGAGGAGGAGGAGGAGTAGGACGGAAGGAGGAGGTGAGGAGGAGGTGGGGGAGGAGGAGGAGGAGGAGGAGAGAGAGGAGGAGGAGGAGGAGAAGGAGGAGGGACGAGGTGGAGGAAAGGAGAGGAGGAGAGGAGGAGGAGGAGGAGGAGGAGGAGGAGGGGGAGGATGAGGAGGAGGAGGAGGCCTGGGCTTCTTTCTCGAGCCGCCTGGGCAGAGGCGCCGAGGCGCCGAGCCCGCGCGGCCGTCCTCGAAGGCCTGGCGGTGGTGCCCCAGCCCGGAGGCCTCCAGCCACGCGCACACGTCCGCTGTCGCCCACGCCTCCACCGGCCCGAGTCGGGCCAGCGCGCCGGCGGCCCCGACGGCGCCGGGCTGGGCCTGGCAGGGAGGGCTGGGGGGAGGCACGAGGCACTGGGCCAGCGCAGACGGCCGCCTGGCCTCCTCCTCCCCCTCCTCCTCCTGCTCCTCCTCCTGCTCCTCCTCCTCCTCCGCCTCCTCCCCTCCATCTCCACACTCTCCTCCTCTCCCTCCCTCCTCCTCCTTCTCCTTCTCCTCCTCCTCCTCTCCTCCCCCCCCTCCTCCATATCCTCCTATTCCTCCACCTCCTCCACCTCCACCCCTTTCCTCCTCCTCATCCACCTTCTCCTCCTCACCTCCGCCCTCAAAATCACCGACCTCTTCCATCTCCTCCTTCACCTCCACCCCTCCACCTCCTCCTCCTCCTTCGCCCGCTCCGGCCCTGCTCCGCCTCCTCTTCCTCCTCCTCCACCTCCTCCTCCTTCTCCACCTCCACCACCGCCTCCTCCACCTCCTCCCCCTCCTCCACCTCCTCCGCCTCCAACTCTCCCTCCTTCACCTCCTCCGTCCCTCATCTTCATAAATTACTTCTCCCTGTCGCACCCCGAGACCGGTCGAAAGGGCGGACTGGGCGTTTCACCAGAGACTCCCTCAGCATTTACAATGACGAATGGCGGGCGGGCGTTTTCGGTCTCTTGGGGCCTCTCTCTCTCTCCCTCGCTCTCCCTCTCTCCCTCTCTCTGTACATGATTGGAAAGATGTCCTAGCCCCACTGAGCGCGTGCGTGACCGAAGTGGTCTCGGCGGCCTGCGACCCTCCAGGTGCTGGTCGATGTCTGGTCACGGACCACATGCTCGCACACCAGCCCTGCAACAATGGCTGCAACGCGTCCTGAGCGTGAGAGCTCTAGCCGCATCTGCATGGCTTCTGAGCTGGTCAAACCCCCACAGACAAGATGGTTGGCCACATCTGTCATCTGTCCGGTCGGACCTAGGACAGAAGAACACCCTGCAAGAACATGAGACCCCCCGCTGACCAAAACACCCCGAACCATCGGATCACTCGAGGGTACCCTCCCCCAGGCCCCCAGGATGCACGATGACACCAACGAGCACGAAGAACATCAAGGCACCCCCGCCGAACCGGCCTCGATCAAACACACCGGTCCGACCGAATGGCTCGTGGGTTGGCAAAATCTTCAAAGACAAGGTGGTAGGCAGCAACTGCACTGAGAACACAGGGCCGAGAGGGCAAGGTGAGCAGGCGACCCTCCGTGTGACTCTGGCAGTCCCTGCAGGTCGGCGGCCCGAGAAGAGGCCAAGAACGAGCTCGAGATGTCGAGCGGGTATGCAGCCGTCGTGCTACCATACACTTCGGTAAACTCCCAGGGAGCGGCCGGTGATGCGCCGCCGGCGTCCTCGTTAAATATAGATTACCCCTGTGCGACCCGACCTGGAAGTTGGAGCCCCTAGGAAAGCAGCATTAGTTGCTATGCGTTGCTATGCTATGCTATGCTATGCTATGCCATGCTATGCTGCGCTATGATATGCTATGCTATGCTATGCTATGCTATGCTATGCTATGCTATGCTGCGTTATGCTATGCTATGCTATGACATGGTAAAATATGCTATGCTAAGCTATGCTATGTCATGCTGCGATGTGCTATGCTAAGCTAAGCTATGCTATGCTATGCTATGCTATGCTGCGCTATGCTATGCTATGCAATGCTATGCTGCGCTATGCTATGCTATGTTATGCTTGGCTACGTTATGCTATGCTATGCTAAGCTATGCTAATGCAGCGCTGCGCTATGCTATGTTAAGCTAAGATAAGCTAACCCACTAGGCAGAGCCTAGGTAGGGAATTACACCCATGCTAATGCTTTGCCTTTCCTTTGCTTTGCTTTTGCTTTTGCGTTGCTTTGCTTTGCGTTGCTTGTGCTTTGCTTTGCTGTCGCTGCTGTTGCTTTGCCTTTGCTTTGGTGCTATGCTATGCTGTGCTCTGCTATGCTGTGCTATGCTATGCTGCGCTGTGCTATGCTGTGCTGTGCTGTGCTGCGCTATGCTATGCTATGCTATGCTGCGCTATGCTATACTATGCTGGGCTATGCTATGATATGATGTGCTGCGCTATGCTATGCTACGCTATGCTATGCTATGCTGTGTTCTGCTATGCTAAAGCTCAGCGAAGCTAAGATGAAGGTAAGCTAAGCTAAGATATAACTGAGGTAAGATGAAGCTAAGCTAAGGTCAGATGAAATAAGCTAAGCTAAGATGAGATAAGCAACGCGAAGCTAAGGGAAAATCACTGGGGGAATCGCGGGGCGGATGCCGGGGGAATCGCCCGGGGCGCATTCCACTGCCCGGCCCTTTAAGCCTCAAAGTAAGAACCCTTCTAGGCAGAGCCTAGGTAGGGAAAAAGCACCCGCACCGCCAGCCCCCCCCCGTGCCCTCACCACGCCCCCAACCGCGGCCCCCCACCATCCAGAATCCCACGCGAGCTTGAGACAATGCCAGCATTGATCGGGAACATTGGGCAGCTACCCAGAGGGTTTTGTAGCAACCAGGCGCGTGTGGCGATTATCTAGTCTCTCCAACGTAGTCTCTCTTCCAACGCTTGTGGAGACTGTCAGCCCACGTCTTGAATACATTCTCGTATAGGCTGACGCTCCGTCGCGTGCTGCTGTCGAAGACAATCTTACTCGAAGGCCGGAGAGCTTCTTGGATTGAAAGGCCAATTCGCGCATCCGTAGCATCGTGACTGTGATTCCAGTCCCCGTCCCACAACTTCATGAATTCGAAGAGCTTGCTGTTCCCGATTGTACCACCCGGCCCCCAAACAAGTGTCACGCGAGGCACATAGAACGAGAAAGCGACGATGCGGCAGTGCAAACTTGTGGAAATCAAAAGCTTTGCTCTGGAAATTAAAGCACTTATATCCCAAATGTTGAGCCCCTCGAATACGGTCACAGCAATTGAAGAGTCTGCTTTATTAAACCTGGACTTCAGAGCCTCATACGACATCAGATTATCGTGGAAGCGCGCAGCGCCTGCTCGGAACATGACGATGCTGGCGTTGTTTTTTCTCGCCGCTGCCAGAACAGCATCAACAACTCCATCGTCAAATTTAGCTTTACTCCTGAACTGCAAAGCGAAATATATCCCCATTGGTAAGCCGTTTGTGCGAAATGATATGGGTTTGCCAAAAACAGTGTTGATCATGACCACGCTATCGGGGGCCAGCAGGCAGTCCTCGTAGCCTGCCTTTAGAGGATGTTGGCGGAGCGTGCAATGGTCAAACTCGCTCTGATTGAATATTGGGTGGCCTGTGCCTCCAACTGTGTTAGCGATGAACAAGCCAGGTTTGGCAAACTTGTACTTAGGCAGCAAGTAGGAAGTACTAAGGCCTTTGTGCATAAAGTCGTCCTCATTGCAAGCTTTGAAGCCAGGTCCGAACATGCTCAGCGCACCCTTGAGCGATAAGTTATTGAGAGTTCCCCCTCCACGAAGAATCACATCGAGAGAGCCGTTGTACATGTTGGAGAACAAAGAGCCAACGCCGATGACAAGATGACCACCATACGCCCGCATGTCGGCGCCTGCAACGTCAGCATGCAAGAAATCGTCGGGACAGAAACCGTAGCGACGTTGCAGCATCGTTTCAACGATCCACGGCATCAACATATCACCGAAATTGTGCCGACCCATAGCGCCATACAAAAGCACCTTGCGACCATGCGGAATCACTTCAGTGCACCCTGAGCTGGTCGACTGGTTCGCGCCATGCAATGTACTCTACCTGGAGCCTGTGCACGAAGCACCTGGGACTCGGCCCTGCATCGACGAAGGCAGACGCGCACTGGTCCGTGGGTCCATGATGCTGACTGCGGATAAATACGAGCGAATGGAGCCATCACGCGACGAGCATGCGAACGAAACAACCATAACAGTGAAAAGCAACAACCGTGGAACAACGGAGAACAAACTGCTGTCCACCATTTGTCTAATGTTCCGATCGGTTCGTCTGCAGAGGTCTGGGGTGTTCGGCAATCGAGCGACGATAGCCTCTTGGCCCGAAATGGCCACTTGTCGCTTTAGCCCACCAAGCACGTGGAAGATGCTATGTTGTTGTTACGCCGCGCAAGTATGCCGTGGCGCGCGTGTCGGCGTGCGTGCGGGGTGTGTTTTGCTGTGCTCCTGTGTGTTCTGCCGTGCTCCTGTTCTGCCGTGCTTCCGTGTTCTGCCGTGCCTCTGTGTGTTCTATGTGCTCTGTGTGTTCTGCCGTGCCCCTGTATTCTGCGGTGCGGATCGTCGCGGTGGTCGTTTTGGAGGAGCTTCTGGGCGCGCACGGCTGAAACAGATCAGGCGCACGGTAGAAGAGGCCCCAAGAGCGAAGGAGCAAGGCAGAAAAAGACCAGGAACACGGCAGAATAGACCCCACGAACTAAGGAGCACGGCAGAATAGGCCCCAATAACGAAGCAGCACGGCAGAAAAAAAACAGGAGCACGACAGAATAGACCCCAAGAGCTAAGGAGCACGGCAGAAAAAAGACCAGGAGCACGCCAGAATAGACCCCAAGAACTACAGAGTACGGCAGAAAAAGACCAGGCGCACGGCAAAAAATACCCCAAGAGCTGAGGAGCACGGCAAAATAGACCCCAAAGCGAAGGAGCACGGCAGAACAAAACCAGGAGCACGGCGAACTAGACCCCAAGAACTAAGGAGCACGGCAGAATAGACCCCAAGAGCTAAGGAGCACTGCCGAAAACGACCAGGAGCACGGCAGAATAGGCCCGAAGAGCTAAGGACCACGGTAGAAATAAAACACAGGAGCACGGCAGAATAGGCCCCAAGATCTGCCGAGCACGGCAGGAAAATGACCAGGAGCACGGCATAATAGGCCCCAAGAGCTAAGGAACACGGCAGAGTAGACCCAGAGAGCGAAACAGACGACATAAGAAGACCGTGAGCATGGCAAAATAGACCCCAAGAGCTAAGGAGCACGGCAGAAAACGACCGAAGCACGGCAGAATAGGCCCGAAGAGCCAAGGAGTACGACAGAAAAAAAACAGGAGCGCAACAGACCCGAAGAGCGAAGGAGCAGGGCAGAACCGGCCCCAAGAGCGAAGGATTACGGCAGAAAAAAAAACAGGAGCACGCCAGAATAGACCCCAAGAGCTAAGGAGCACGGCAGAACAGACCCGAAGAGCGAAGGAGCACGGCAGAACAAGATCAGGAGCACGGCAGAATAGACCCCCAAAGCGAAGGAGCACAGCAGAAAAAGACCAGGAGCACGGCAACATAGACCCAACGAGCAACGGAGTACGGCGGAATAGACCCCAAGAGCGAAGGAGCAAGGCAGAAAAAACCAGGAGCACGGCAGAACAGATCCCAAGAGCTAGAGAGCACGGCAGAAGAGGCCCCAATAGCGAAGGAGCACGGCAGGAAAAAAAACAGGAACACGGCAAACTAGACCCCAAGAGCTAAGGAGCACGGCAGAATAGACCCCAAGAGCGAAGGAGCACGGTAGAATAATACCAGGAGCACGGCAGAACAACCCCCCAGAGCTAAAGAACACGGCAACAAAAAGACCAGGAGCACGGCAACCTACACCCCAAGAGCTGAGGAGCACGGCCAAATAGACCCAAGAGCGAATGAGCACGACAGAAAAAAACGAGAGCACGACATAATAGTTCCCAAGCGCTGAGGAGCACGGCAGAACAAGACCAGGAGCACGGCAGAGTGGGCCCGAAGAGCGAAGGAGCACGGCAGAACAACAGCAGGAGCACGGCAGAGTAGGCCCGAAGAGCGGCCGAGCACGGCAGCAAACAGACCGAATCACGGCAGACCGGGCCAGAAGAGCCAGGGATCACGACAGAATGGGCCCCAAGAGCTAGAGACCACGGCAGAATAGACCCCAAGAGCTAAGGAGCACGGCAGAGAAAGAAGACCGAAGCACGGCGGAATAGGCCCGAAGAGCCACGGAGTACGACAGGAGAGGACCAGGAGCACGGCACGCTGGACCCGAAGAGTGCAGGAGCACGGCAGACTGGACCCCACGAGCGAAGGAGCACGGCGGACACAGGCCAGGAGCACTGCAGAGTAGGCCACCAGGAGCCCAGGAGCACGGCAGAAACCAAAAGGGGAGCACGGCAGGAACGGCCCGAAGAGCGAGGAAGCACGGCAGAAGACAAGAGCTGGGGGCTCTCCTGGCCAGTCTCGGGCCCTCTTCGGGCGCCCTGGGGGCCCCCCTGGGCGCCTCTTGGGGGCCCCTTGCGGGTCTTTCGGGCCGCTTTGGGGGTCCCCTGGGGGGCATTCGGACGCTCTCTTGGGCCATTTTGAAACCCTCCGTGCGCGATCCCAAGATAATGCTGGTTCGGAGTCCCCTCCAGAGCCGATGTGTTGAGGACGTCTCGAGCGAAACGGCCATTTTCTGCTGTGCTCCTTTTTTCGGTCTGCCGCGCCCCTCCCGATTTTCTGGGGATGTCCCGAGCGACAGCGCAATTATGAGAGGTAATAACACAGCTTTTCCAAAATATCATGTTTTCGGGAATGTCTCTGGCGAAGCGCTCGTTTTCATGCACAGCAAAATCCTTAGCATTTTTCAACATCCCGATGTTCTGAGGATGTCTCGAGCGAAAACGCCATGGTTGACAGAACACGCCTTAAACGAGACCCTCCAACATCTCATTGTCGGAGGACGTCTCGAGCAAACTCGCTGTTTTGGGGAACAGTTCTTGGCATGAACGGGAAGCGCGTGAAATCAAAGAGCTTTGCAAGAACGTATACCAGCATCAACTTCGCATGTCGCGTAGACGCTCTCTTCGAACGTCCACAAGGGGTACCACGTGGACTTCGCTGTTCGCGCCAATTCAGACGTGCCGCTGGCCCCGAACATCCGCAAAAAGAACCAGATGGAGTTCACGATCCGCGCAAATTCCGACGTGCCGCTCGCCCCGAACGTCCACAAAAGATACCAAATGGAATTCAGAATCCACGCAACTTCAGTCACCGCTCACCGCGAACGTCCACAAAAGGTACCAAGTGGAGTTTACTACCCGCGCGAGTTTAGACGTCGCTCTTACCCCGAACGCCCACAACAGATATCAGGTGGAGTTCACTTTCGGCGCGAATTCACAAATTGTTGAAGGATGTCTCGAGCGAAACGCTATTTTTAAAACAATATTGTTGAACACCCCTCGGTTTTTCAATAATTTTGCCTTCGAGGACCCGTCGGGAGGCAATTGTTGGAGGATATCTCGAGCGAAACGCTGATTGTTCAACGAAAATGTTACAAACATGTGGGCGTTTCAATAATTTCGCTTCTTGGGCCATCTTGAAGGTCATCCGAGATCGCCCCGGAACGATGCCTTACAAGAACTTTGTCGGCATCTCAATTTTCGATGATGTCTCTGGCGAAACGGCCATTTGCGAGGATCAGAAGATTAGGCGAGCGATTTCACGATCTCCATGTTTGGAGGATGTCTCGGGCGAAACGCGCTGGTAAGGGCGGCTCCCGCTATGCTGCACCATGCCTGTCCTGCACATGATGTGTTCCGCCGTTTGAAAATCACTGCTCGCCGCCAGCCCGAGGCCAGAGGGTCGCGGGCTGATGTGCGGGCTTCCCACCAGGCGGGTGGTAAGCTTCGTATGCTGCGCCCGTGGACGCGCACACGCGCGAGCCGACCTTGCGGTTGGCTCTGTGAATGCTGGCGAGACCTCAGCGTTGGGGCTGCGTCTTAAAAAAAAGCGCGCATAGACTCGAAGAGTCGCGCGATGGACGTTGCAACAGCTTTACGAATGGCGGGCGGGCGGTTTTCAACATGTGGCTCTCGCTGTCGCGCTGCACACATTCGTCTTGAAATATTGCACCAGTTTCACGGGTGGACGGCGGGTCGCTTTCAACATATGGCTCTCGCATTAGCGCCGCGTGCATTCATTTACAAAAATTGCATGAGTTCCACGGATAGGCGGCGGGTCGCTTTCAAAATGTGCCTCGCGCCTCAGCGCCGCGCACATTCGTGTTAAAAACATGCAGCCGCTTCACGGATGGAGGGCTGGTGGTTTTCAAAATGTGGCTCTCGCCATCGCGCCGCGCACAATCGTCGCAACAAGTTGCAGGAGCTTCACGGATGGAAGGCGGCTCCGTTTGAACATGTGGCTCTCGCCTTAGCGCCGCGCACAGTCGTCTTACGAGCGTACAGCAGCTCCACGGATTCCCATGGTTGACGTCCAAGAGATAGTGTGGTGGCACGATGTTGGAATGCCAAGCCGCAGCAGTCGCGTTGATTCGCGGAGTTGAAGTCCCAGGACTGGTGTCCTGGCACGTTTCAAGATCGACGAGACGCAATAGTAAAGGATACTCGAGGCGCTGAAGTTTCAGGAGTGGTGCTCTGGCGCAGTTCCAGATGTTGAAACGGTGATCTTTCAACAGGGCCCTTCCCTTCATGAAAACAAGCCCTGGTGGGGGCCTATGAAAAAAGAACTTGGAGGGAAGGTTTATTGCAACATCGTTGATGGCTCTTGGGTTCATTGGTCCTCCTCCGCCTCTCCTCCTCCTCCTCCTGCCCCTCCTCCTCCCAATCCCTGTTTTCCTCCTCCTCCTCCTCCTCCTCCTCCTCCTCCTCCTCCTCCTCCTCCCCCTCCTCCTCCTCCTCCTCCTCCTCCTCATCATCATCATCATCCTCCTTCTCCTCCTCCCCATCCCTGTTCTTCCTTCCTTTTCTCCATTGACGGACTTGGGTTGACGGACTTGGGTTGGCAGGGCGGGGGAAGGCGAGGGCGGAGGGAGGCCGTGCGCTGCACGGACATGCGCTGCGCACCTGCTGCGTCCAGTCACGTCCGTGCAGCGCGAGACCTACCTCCGCCTCCCCTCCCCTCTTCCTCCCTCCCTCCTTCCTCCTCCTCCTCCTTCTCCTCCTCCTCCTCCTCCCCCTCCTCCTCCTCCTCCTCCTCCTCCTCCTCCTCCTCCTCCTCCTCCTCCTCCTCCTCCTCCTCCTCCTCCTCCTCCTCCCCCCAACCCTCTCCAGGGGCTGCCTGAAGTTAGTGGGCGAAGAAGGATTAAATACACAGAAGCTCGTCCG